TTACAGCGTCCACCGTCGTCTTTTCTCACAATAGTTCTCCTTCTTGACCCCAAGCTACACATAAAGCTACAAACTCCCATTTTATACTAAACCCCATCGGCGGTTTCACGGAATATGAAACGATAAGTCATGCTTAATAGTCGTAGGTTTCATGACCATTGGGTTTCCTGTCATTAAATTACATTTAATTTTTTTTCTTTTTTTTTTGGGTTGTTACAGATTCACTATAATTGCTTAAAATCCATATCTCTCATCATTTGGTTGTTCATTGTAGTTTGTTTTGGCCCGAATTAGTCACTGTCCTATAAAAACAGTCTCTTGCATTTGTGACCGGTTATATTGGTTATTGAAATTTCACCTGATATGCGGTTATAACTTTGGTTTAATCGTTTACTTTTTTCCATGATTAGGACAGAAAGTGATAGGAATAGGGTTAAAAGGTCCATCTGGCTAACCAGTTTATTCATTTTTTAAATAATAGCATTCTTTATTAGATTTGGATAGTATGTCGTTATAGTATTGGTTTCAAATCAATAAGCCAATAAACCTACTCCCTCGGGTTCAAATCCTGTTTGTTTGCTCATTGCATACTCGAAAAACCCACTGAAATCCATAACGGAAAGCATCTTTTTGCTTTCTCATTCTCTATTTGTTTGTTTGTTCGATTCTCCAACCATCATATACATGAACGCATTAAAAAAGAGCACGTGGAAGAATTTTTCTATTTGTTTATGAAAAAGAGTGGTAAGAATTTATGTGGTTATTTGTTTGTTTTGATATATTCACATAATGTGAAGATTTGGAAGAATTTCATAGGGGTTCCTTGCCTTATCTTGAAATAGCGTTATTATCCACCAACATTCTTCAAGATACATCGACAAAACAAGATCTCTATGATTTGTCTTTGATAATGTTGATATGTTTTTGCTCATGGTTCTTTTTTGCATGCTAACGATTTTGCTGCTTTCATTGATACTTACACTGAACTTTATGTTCAATAGAAAGTTCGTTGGACTTTTAGTATGTGACTTTAAAGAATTCCCAAAATTCAATTCTAGTAGAGAGAGAAATGCTTTTTTTATCGTTCCCACCAATTAAATATTGAGTGTTTGTTGGAGTATGAAATGTATTGAATATTTTAACGACATAGTTAATGCTTAAATCTTCATATTGAAGAAACTATTGGAGTTAAATATAATTTTTTTGTAATTTTATTTCACTTTTTATTTTATTTTATGAAAGAACCATGGGAAATGTTCAGATGAAACTAATTTTGTTTCCATTGTTCGTTACTAAAACATGTTGGGGCATATGGTTAGTCCTAAAATCAAGAACTGTGTCAAAATTGGTATTATGGATATGATTAGGCCCAACCATATGATCGATTAAATTTACGTTTCTTAATCAGTCAATGTTTATATCTATTAAAACATTTTCAACAGATTCTTTAAGATAGACTAAATGTAAATTTTATTCTAATTGTTCGTTTTAAACGATACTCCAAAACTTTTTCAAAAATAAAAAAATTGGAGAACCCTAAAAAATTAAATGCATATAGAGAGAGATAAATATTTTTTTTTAATTAATTTTATCAATTAAATGTTGGAAGTTTGTTGAAGTATATTAAATCTGTTGAATATTTTAATAATATTTTTAATGCTAAAATATCTAAATCTGATAGTTAAATATAATTTTTTTTTACTATTTATAGAAAAAGTGTTGAAAAATATTCAAATGACACTAATTTTATTTGTATTGTTTGTAATTAGAACGCTTTGGAGCTTATGGTGGAACCGTTTATTAAAGTTACAATTAGGATCGATAACACAATTGATCCTAACTAGTGTGGTTCAGACCGAAAAACTGATTTTTCATTCATCTTTTAAATCTAGAACCGGTTATTGAGCTCGATAAATGGCCCAATTATAGTAAAAAATAGGTGGTTTATTAGTTTTTGTCTTTTTTAATTTGTAAAAAAACATTTTACGGTTGGTTTGAGGGATATAATAAAAATATTTAATTATAAAAAAAATCTAATTAGTTGATTTTTGTGTCTTTTTGACACGTAAAAACACATTTACGGGGGACGAGGATTAGTAAAGGCTCATCTGAAGACTTCAAGTTTATTGGATCGGTTTGACATAATCAAACACATGTAGTTAGAAGAAATGGAGTAAAACAATATTTGCACACAAAATTAGGGAGGTTGATGGAGTTCGAAAGTAACAAGATTCTTAAATAATATTAGCAGCATTTGTAGATATTAAATTTTACAATTTATGTATTTCCTCGGTGCACGGAAGTAGGGAGAGGAGAGTCGTCACCATTTTCTAAGATTTGTTTTCTTTGACGGACAATCAAAAACACAATTACAAACGGAGTATATGCATTTTGCCTGGGAATTAGGTCCATGCACTCTCTTGCAAATATCAATACAATCATGTATCTCACATCCGGGATTTAGATAACGATTTTCTTCACAAACTTTGTCAGCCATCGATAACTCCATATCTGTAAATTCAGGATACACACTTATAGGACCATATCAGCAAACAATTATAAAATTCTCTAAATGATCAATAAGTTAGTAATCATCAAAATAGCTAACAGTAATGGATTTTATGTTAATCGAAAACACAAGATATCTGCTAAAACTGAAGAAGAACATTTAAATTTCAAGAAATTATGTATGATAAAAGTATTAATGAAGAAGAATTACCAATCATATATAACCATAAAAAAACACAAGAAATGTGATGAAAATCAATGACTTTGCCATGTTGAGCTTTGTTGGGTGTATGTTGTTGATGGATTATGTGGGGCTTAACCATACTTTTATATAAGAAATGGATCAACATTGTTGCACCCTTAATTATAACTGCATTTATTGCTGAATTTAATATGACATTTAAGAGATAAAAAGAACAAATTAAAAGTCAAAGATTAAGGTTAAACTTTATGCTTTACATTTATAATCATATTATGTAATTCTTTTTTTTTTTTTTTTTTGAAAAAACATATCATGTAGTTTTTTTTTATTAACCTAGATATCCAACCCGTTATTCGAGTCGACTAATCTTAGGGCGACCACATGCTTTGCAGATAACCCGGAGTTATCGCATTTGAATCTCTGTGGTCACAAGGGAATTTTTATTATTCATTAGATTTGAACCTGATACCTCCTGCTATTTTTGACCTTTGAAGTCAAGCGCAAACCAATCCGACACCACCTTTGTGGTTGATCATATAGTTATTTATGTTCAATGTAAGTGGGTTTGGTATTATTTGTACAAGACAAGTTGTATTATATATTTATATAAATAGATGAAATTCTAAATACAAATCCTATGATTGTTATAAACTATATAAACCAAATTTGGGCTCTAATTTTTTTTTAAAGGCGGTTATTAAATCAGTTGGAGATAAGGTTGAAAGTAAATTTAAGAGCCGATTTAATCTACATCGTTGYTCATCTATACAAGAGATTGACTTGTATAATATATTTTGTATTTTAAACTGCCTTTCTCCCTATATCTATATACTATATTATAAAGCATTTGAGAAAAACTCTTAAAATCATTTTTTATGCATCAAGTATTATTTATTGATACATATTACTTAAAATTCAAAATTTACAAATAAATGATGCATGAGTATAAATTTTTAAAGCTGCATGTTTGAATTCATATAACTAATTAATAAACATACTCAAATACAAAAAAAAACATCTCATTTTATATATAAAAAATCAAAAAAAAAGAAGATAATCATCGAATTCTAATATAATATTTAATTATTATCTTTATAAATTACATTACATTCTTATTAAACATAAATTAAATTATAATAAACACTAAATTAAACAAATTATATAACAAACAAAAACTTTTTAATTGTTATTTTTAAATTAATATAAATATACTTTTTAAAAATTTTATAGAGACTTAAAGTTTATATTTTATTCAAATATAAAATCATTATGTTTTCTCCAAATAAGAAAAGTCGTGTTACAAAATCGACAAAAATAAATAATAAAATAAAACATTAAAAAGTAAAATATATCTTATTATATTGCGTGAGTACACTTTTAATATATACAAAAAGCTAGAATAGATTTTAAAAGCAAGTGATAACGTGGTTCTTAAAACCAAGAGTATTCAAGATTTGTTGAAAAGTATCCGGATGGTGTTAAAAGAATTTTGGTTAGATGTATTAAACAAAAACTAGAAGGTTGTGTGCATAATGCAGTGAAATATATTTCAATTATAATGTTTCTTTTTATTTTTTGTTTCTGTCGATATAATCCGGTTTTAATGATTTTGAAAAAACGATAATGTTTTATTTTTGAATAAGATATAAATTTAAAGATATCATAAGAATTTGAAAAAAATATATATTGATATTAGTGTCAAATTTACTATTTAATTTTTTTTGGTAATTTCTTTAATTCAATATTTTATTTATAATTTAATTTAAATTTAATAATGAAGTAATTTATTTTGGTTTAATAATATATTAATTAAGTATTATGTTTGAACTTAATGATTATCCTAATTATATTTTAGATTTTTTATATTTAAAACGAGATGTTTATCACGTATTTAATTATGTTTATCGATAATTAGTTACACAAATTTAAAAATGAAGCTTTAATAAGTTGTACTTACACACAATTTACTTGTCATCTTGAATTATAAGTAATATGCATCAATAAACAGTACCTTATGCATAAAAAAATGATTTTTAAGAGTTTTTATCAAATGCTTTATCATATAACTAGAAGGGTGCTCGCATAATATAGCGAAATATATATCAATTTTAATGTTTCGTTTTATTATTTATCTATGTCGATATAATACGGTTTTAGTGGTTTTGAGAAAGCGATAATGTTTTTATTTTTGAATAAAATATAAATTTAAATATATATAAAAATTTGGAATATATATATATATATATATATATCGATATTAGAATCAAATTTATTATTTAAAGTTTTGGTTTTTTGTGTAATTTTTTTAATTCAATATTTTATTTATAATTTAATTTAGATTTAATAATGAAGTAATTTATTTATCGTATTTTGTTATAACTAATGATTATCCTAATTATATTTTAGATTTTTTTTATTTAAAATGAGATGTTTATCCCGTATTTGATTGCGTTTATCTATAGTTAGTTACACAAATTAAATAATGAAGCTTTAATAAATTGTACTTACGCACAATTTACTTGAAATTTTGAATTTTAAGTAATATACATCAATAAACAGTACTTTGTGCATAAAAAATAGTGTTTAAGAGTTTTTGTCAAATGTTTTATAATATATTATAGATTTAGATTAATGGAATTGAAAATAAAAGAATTATATGATTTTATATAATATAATGAGTTCATTCCCTTACAAACCCAAAATTTTCATTACAAGTTAAACCGGTGGAATTTGAAAATTCATTCTCATTTTTATCTTTTGTCATTTTTATTTTCATTCTTTTGCCTGAACCAAAAAGACCACAAAAGTGTTTATGTAATGTCTCTAAATATGAATTGTTTAACTTCAAAAATAATTACATTCAACTCTAAAAATTTCAATATTGATTAACATTAATTATATTACTAAAATATTTAATACATTCAAAACATCTCAAATCCAACACCTAATCCTAAATTTAGCACCAATTTTAATTCCAATTCTCTTCAAGCCAACGTGAAATCCCAACTTTGGTGTTTTACTATTTATTTAGCACCAATTTGGTGTTTGGAGTATTGGCAACAATAAATGGTGCCTTAAGTTTGATATTTTTTGGAGGTTGAGATGCTAAGGCAGCTACAGCGATGATTGGTCTTCTAAGCGTATACATGGTTGTAATTGTTTCTTGAACTCTGTCCTCATATGGTTGTGCTGGTTATTGAGGCACATAAGCCACAAGAAATGGCTCTGGTTCTGGTTGAGTAGGTTCTAGAGCTGACTCTGGAATAATCGTTTCTGGTTCTAAAGATGGCACTTTTGAAGTAAGTTATGTAATTTTAGTTTATTTGCTTGTAATTAAATAATATGTTGGCTATTATATTGATAAATATCACATTAGATAAAAAAAATTACATTTATATAAATCTATAATATATTATGAATTTCATTTTTATCTTTCTAACGAGGAACAAGACAGAACCAGATCTGTGGATCAAGAGCAGACTCAACATCGAGAGTACTGTGAGTCCACAATATGATCAATCTTCAATTATATCTATGAATCAATGGCAATCTTCATGTTAACATTAAGAATGTTTGAAAAGTCAACTCAATCAAACTTTCTATAAATCTCAAATGTACGTAAGTATTACAATTAAGCTCCTCTCATACTATTACACTAGAAGACAAAGTATATATAAGGTCAAACATTGAATCCTCTAGTCAAAGTCAACAACTACATACAAAGCCAAACACGCTAATATTACAATTATAGATTTTCAAGACGAATACAATTTAATACTAAAATTCAATCCTAACAAGTATGTTACTTGGGATATGCTTGCTGAGGAAATGGATAAGCTCTGAAACACTTTAACATCAATATTGGGAATTCCTGCTTGTGTGGAAACATAAAGAGTTGAAATTAATCTACAAGTTCACACTTCTAAGGAAAGAGGGGGTGACATTAAAATGTTTTTAACATGCAAACCTTCTACGTTTAATTTTGAAAGAGACCCGATAAAAGCTATATGTTGGTTAAAGGAGATTGAGTCGGTCTCTGATACCAGCAAATGTTTATATGAAGATCGAGTTAGATTTTCTGTTTATGTGCTCAAATCTAATGCTCTTGTATTGGTGGGAAATCGAATCATTGTTCAAACCTAATATTTTACAAACGATGTCATAGATGGAATTTACGGACAGGTTCAATAGCAATTTTGTCCTAAAGCTGGAGTTAGTCAACTAAAGGAAGAATTTCTAAAGTTGGAACATGGGAATCTGACTGTACGGGAATATACGAAGAAATTTATTGAACATTTTAGATTTGGAGAACACTATATCTCTTTGGAATCCTGTAAGGTTGAACGATATGTTTATGGATCGAATTCCTCTATCAGAGAGTTTGTGATTGCAATGGATTATGCTACATTTCCATCTGCAGTTGATGTGGCTGAAACCACTGAAAGGAATAAGAATAGACAAGTGGGAGAAAGGATCGGAGAAAAAAGAAAATGGGAAGGATCGTCAACAGATTTTCAAAAACCCTAGTTTGTTAAATATGAAAACCATCCAATTCAAATATTTAACGAGAGACCTTGCCCAAGATATCACTGTATCCACCAAGGTGACCGCAATATTGAAAAGAGAAGGTGTTATAGATGTGGGGAGTCACGACATATTTCTAGGGATTGTCAAATGCCTCAACACTGTTTTCACTACAACTCTCCAAATCATATTAAACTCGATTTCCCACAACTGAGAAATCAAAGATCAAACTCGGCTGGTAACACTCAGAGCAATCGTAGGGGTATCAGTATCAGAA